TCTGCATGGTTCCTGAATCGCAACATGAAAAGCCAGTTCATCAGGGGATGTGGTGCCGTGTCTCCCTCGGAAAGTGTGTGTTGTCGACGTTCAAAGTGGCGTCAGTTGAGCTGACTTGGCTGGACAGAGTGGAAGATAAGTCGAGAGACAGTTTGATGATGGAAAGCTTATAGAGGGAAGACTAGGTATTGTATATGAAGTTTATCTCTGAAGGCGGAAGTTTTTGAGGCGACACCAAGAGTAAGAGAAATCAGAGCAATCAATGTAAAAAATAATAATAAAAAATAATAACGTAAAAGGAAAAGAAGAAGAAGAAGCAAAAAAAAAAAGAATGTCAGTCAAAAAGGGAAGTTGACAACAAGGTCAAGCTGGCTGTGGTGGCGAAAGAGTGCAGACGTGCGCAACGGCAATTAAATAACGTATCTCGCGCCGTCGAATGAAGACGACCAGTTCCTTGGAAAAGATGCAAGATTAGAGTTGGGGCGGACGTTTGGCCCTTTGGTGTTCAAGTCGTCTTCCAATCTTGAGTAGTAGCTCAAGTTGATAGGAGTGACTGCGGGGAGAAGCCGAATAGTTAGTGGTGGTTGTCGAGGTTGAGGCCATTCAATTGATCCACGGACAGGCAGCCCAAATGTCTACTTAGGTGCCGAGGTCTGTGATTTGCTGCTCAAGGGAACGTGGTGGAGGATTTAAGTACTGATATTAAATCGGTATGGTTGGATGCCTTAGGTGCCACCTGGAAAATAGGATTAAATTGACCCAAGACAAATTAAGAGATCCATACCATATGACAAGGGGAGAAGCGGGAAGGAAGAAGCGAAGAAGAATTGGAGCAGTGATTAGTAGCAGACTAAGTACAACCTAACTAAGTCGTAGACAAGGATCCTTTGATCATGAGAATTATAACCATGATGCTAAATATATTGTTGTTTCCTGATTACATTGACATTGATTTCTTCCTACCCACGGACTATCAAATTCTTGATCTTTGCTGACATACGAAAATACAATCAAGTACAAGAATAATGACTGTGTTCTTCAATAATCAGGATGGATGTCGACCAGAGTAGACATCTGAGTAGACATCTTGGAATAACAAGATCATCTTGGGAGGGGAAAAAAAATAATAATAATGAGAATCATATTAATATAAATGATGAAAAGAAAAAGATCAGTGCGCAGGGTCTTCTGGAAAAGAGACTTCCAGGAAGCAACTCCGAAAAGTCTCTCGGCAGACCCCGGTCAAGAGAGCAGAGCCAGAGCATGGCTGAAACAACGCCAGTTCACACCAAAATAGTAGGTTGAGATCTCAGGAGGTGGAGATGGGACCGCTAGACGAGGACTGTTTCGTGAATGAGCTCACCATGGTTTCTTGGCTGTTAGTAACTGCTACAGACTGGTACAGAGTAAATGTTGTCTGGATAGTTATCTAGCTCTGGCTGTTCTGCGAAACGTGCCGTCAACCTTGATTCTTCGGCATCTTTTGTCGACTTCGCCATTCTATGATACCATAGTAGGCGGACGATCGTATGGTCCTGTGGACTGATACTGATTCAATGTTTCAAAGTGTATTCCCTACTCCTTAGTACTTAGGTAGTAGTAGTTGGCAAGTCGCTAACGGGCCAACGGCTAGCTAGCATCATGAAATCACGGACTCTAGTTGACTGTGAGTGGATATCTACAAGATGGAAGAGATCAGGCCTCTGTTTTGATTGACTACAGAGTAGACTAATTTCGAAGTGGTATCCCAAGATCGGCAGTGGCAGTGTTGAGTGTAGTTCTTTCGCCATGATATTCGCTCTTAATCTAAAGTTATAGGGTAGTTAATCCTCTGACTCAAGAATCCAAGGTATTTCGTTAGCAAGGCAGGCCTGTAAGGTATGTCACATCCATGGGAATCGTCTCCTAGAGCAATGGTTCACTAGATGATCATCACCAAGCCTTGAGCATGATAATGGATGAGCAGCGGAATAAGGTAAGGTAGGAACTTCAGCCAAGGTACGGATACTTCGTATCATTTTGTCCAAGGCTCAACGTATTATTTGATTGAATCCGAGTGGTCCGTTGAATTAGAGACGGCTGGACGGAATGTCATCCAGACCATTTGATTCGTTCGCTTGATTTCTGTTCTTTTTCGTCACCGGTGACTCTGGAGTCCGTGCTGCGCTTATTCTCCAGACGATGAACAGAGAGTGCTCTCCTGCTTCAGATACCGATACGGATATGTATAGAAAAGTACATTTTATATTGGATCGAATTCCCTGAGTCAATGGTTATGCGCTCAGCAGATCAGTCAAGCAGAAAGTGGAAGGTTTTTGTTTGTGTTGTTACAGTTGGGTAAGCTTGGAAATCTATCGACGGCTGCCTCGGACTACCGCCATCATTGCTGAGCTCCATGGAACCTTAAAGGCTGAAAGGCCTAGCCCGGATGCTGAACCGGGATGGTTCTGCTTGGATACGGACTACGGAATCATGGAAAGGCTTTTTGTGGGCGTACTAGATACGTGGCCCATATGATATGTCCAACAATTTTCGTGACTTTGACTTCAGAGTTCAGAGTCTATTTAATGCTTATCCAATAATCCAACCGTTTCTCGACGGAAACTATTATTGTCAGAACCTGCGTGGTAAGTGGTCAAAGTCCGTGTTTCGACCGAATTACCCCCAGGCAGTACTTGTGGCTTCCCGCGGCCTCTGCCTCAGTGCCTCGTGCTGGTGGCTTCGCCGATCAACACCAGTAAGCTGTGCGTTTCATACTAGGGTTCTTCCCTTGTTGCATTCGCTCCTGCGCCGGTCCAGTCGTTGAGCCGGCAATGCTTTAGATGCCCGACCTGAAAGTGTGGTCATATTGACTTCTTCGTGTCGTTCAACCATCGCCAGATATCACCATTGGAAAGTGGTTGGCTGAATGACCACGACAATATTGGCCGATTCTTTAGTACTTCAATGAATTGAAATACGCAGTGATCTTCGATTAGAACTTCGAAATGGGCAGGATATCTTGAAATCACTTTCGTCTGCATCTGCTGTGCCGAAAGGGGAGAGAAGAGGTTGCCATCCTTATTACTCCGTATATACCTAATCACCAATATTGCTATGCGGAAGGTACAGCTAGGCAGCTCGTGCATTGCTTCCCACTACAGCTGCCTTGATGCCTGCCCCCGGTTCGTCCTCATGTGGCACACCCTTCCTCACACGCCATATTTGCCTTGCAGCGTGCCTTTCTCCTGCGTTGGACCACACCAGGTGCAGAGATCGTCAGCATCATTATTATTAGGATGAGATGCAGATCTTTGGGCCTCTTCTTTCGCTGTCGATGATGGAGTGGTTATGAGTATGTAATTAAAGCGGCCGGATTCATAAGAGAAGCCCAGGAAGACGCAGTCTTCCCCGCATCATCTTTACAGCACTAGAAAGGAGGAAGACCGCTTCCAAGTTTCAACAGGTCGAGTATTTCTTTACGGTGAACGACAGCCCCATCAGCGAGTTGTGACTCCAGTGGCGCCGTTCAATGACCAAATAATACCAGAAAATCGAGGGTTATGAATATATCGTTGTCAACTTGACATTAAGAGACACTGAACGCTCACTGGGAAATTGTGCTCCTTACACACAAATGGCTGACTGGCTGCACACCCTCATCTCATCACCAGCCTATGAGATTCAACCTTCGGCTTCCGGGTTGCTTAGTAGTTTGTTGCTGAACACCGGATCGCTTTCCAGGGTGGAGTTAGCCTAAACTTAGCGGCCATTTACCTCGTGTGCCCGTCACAGCATTCAAAGGAGCCGAGCCAATCAGAAACCACTGAAGGGACCTACGGAACTGTTGCCGCACGGGAGACATGGAATCAGACTCTGGCGTGTTCCAGCATGTCTGATTGGATGAAAAGGACCTCGGGCTCCACTCACATGTGGTGACTCCCGCGAAAGGACATGAGCATTTTAGACACCGCTGCACCCCGATTCGCAGGCGGCGAATTTAGTTGAGTGACGGCTTGTTGGGGTCTTGGGAGAGGGTGAGCAGTTTTCGTCATCTCAATTTTAATGATTTATTTCAATTCTCGGAAATGAGATACTGCAGACATGACACTAAATTCAGGTAGTGAGATAAGCCTAGGTCAATACTCATAGTAGTAGTACTTTGTAGTAGGTAGAGCCAAAAATAATATGCAGCACTCGGGAATTTCCGTGTGGCCAAGAGATGGTTGCCCATCTTAACCCTAACTCTTTGGCTTAGAAAAATTCAACTTCCCATCCTTGTCGTAAACCTCGGTCTTATGATCTCTTGTCGCCTGAAATCCCCTGAACACAACGGTCCACGTGGTTATGCATTGACCTTTCGAGCTGTGGCTTTTGGGCTTTGGCTCGAGGTCCGAGATCCATGATTATTAATTGTGGTAACTGTTTCCTCGTAGAGGATATATATTTTCAGGAAATTGCTGTGTTTACTCTATCTTCAACTGACAGTCAATATTATATTGGCTGTTGTCAACTGAATTGCTTGTGTCCATGTCCATTGATCACGCGACGTTTTTATCTCAATATCCTTGGCGCCATTCCCCATCTCTCATTTGAGCTTGATAGTCGTCCAAGACTAAGAGACACTACGCACCTCGCTTAGAGAAAAGTGCAAGGGCTACGTAGCAACATACCCAGGTATCACAGATGATACTGCTAGACAACCTGGTACTAATTGTTCGCCAGGGGCCAGCTCAGCCATGCTCTCGTCAAGTTGATGATTACTTAATTAGCATACGAGGCAGAGATCCACTCCCTGGTCCCTGATGGCTTGGCTCTTCGGAATCGTTGCCGAATCGGTTCCTGTGTTCCTTGCTTCCGTGTCCGATTCACTTCTTTTGGACATATGCACCGCACAGGGTGACAACGTCAGGCAATCGGACAATCCTTCGCTTCCGTGAGTGACACTCGGTGGTTGGTCGATGGCGTGCCATTCCATGGCCTATCAATGTCACGGCGTGTCATCACCGTACAACCATCTCTTACATCGGGCCAATCTCAGCACTAGTCTGAACTTGTCGTTCGCTTCGAATCTCAACCAACTTGACAAGTAGTTCTGGTCCCAGCAGATGTGTCTCATGTTTACAGAGCTGAGAGTGCAAAGCCCTATCGGAACTCGGCAAGCAGGCAGCAGCAGCTTTATTCGTGACAATGGGACCGGAGCGGGCCATCTCATTCAGACGATGCCTATCCGAGCCAGTGATACCGAATCTACTCACTACTAACCCAGATTCAGATAGAGCAGATCAGAGCCGATGCCCCTTTAACCTTGATTATCATCATCATCTGGAGAAAGTGGGCTCCGAGTCTCCGAGACAAATTAATAGTTGAAGGTATTATGATTCAGCCTGATGGAGATCGTGTTTCATTAGGGAATACCGATACGGAGAAGATTAGACCATTCTCCATTTCGAGGTCTCAACGGGAGACAGTAGATAGTGACCACTGCCCAGTCACCACTCACCGGGCACCCTCGGTTAGAGCCGTGATACAAGCCCCATATGCGTGTCATATAAGGCAAGGTAGCATTAGTAGCATGCAGTCTTATCATAGCAATCCAAAAAGAGCAGGTTGCGGACGAAAAGCGAGCGGAGATATCATCCAGCTATTCTGGATTGATTCTTCGTCTTCTCCCACCGATCCATAATCACCTCCACCAACTTACTCAATCCCTCCATCTCCTCCTCAACGGTCAACTCGAGGGCCCGAGGATCGATGCTACAGCCCACGTAGACAGGGATGCTCATCCGTCGGGCCAGGATCTTGGCGACTCGGGACGTATATTCCTCCGTCGAGGGGGAGGAGTATAACACAGTTGATATGACCGAACGGGGGGAATGGCGCTGTCATACGTCATCAACTCATGCGGAACGTGATAAGATGCATATCATCGTTTGCGACCGATACACCAGGCTCCAGCAGGAAGTCGATTTATGTCTGAAGTGGGGAAAACTTACATCAGGCATGGCGTAGATGAAACTCCCCATCGGCTTCAGCGAGCCTCCGGACTCGCCTGGTGTCGTTGTAGCCAGGAATGCTGTAACACATGTCTCTAGGATGGTCAAATGGACATGTGCGGTTGTGTGGAGTGCTTTTGGTAGTGGGAAGGAGATCTCTTGTGGTTTGTAGGAAGGAGAGACAAGTTCAGTCTGTGGTGCGACCGGTTGTGCTGTTGTCATGTTGGGAGTCTGAGGTGTATTCCTGCGACTTGAATTTATCAAATCAAAGATATCTTCTCGATTTAGATGAGTATGGTGTGTGCTTGTCTAATACCAATAGGATATAAGAAGGGTGATGTTTGTTGTGAAATAACATGTCGCCGTTCATGAAGCACCGCTTTCTTGATGTTTCCCCGCCAAACAGAGCGGGTCCACGGATTTCACCACCTGCAGACTGCAGTGAGAAGAGCACATCCAGACTCTGGATATCCCAACAGCGCATGTCAATGGTAGATGATACTAAGAGCTGAGAAAACGCGTTGAAGTTGCTTTGAAATAGTTATCGTGCTCTTGCGCGTTTGTGCAGTTGGGAGCTTGTCTAGAGACGAGCTTCTCCAAGCCATTCAGCAACAATGGCAACTGAACTGCAGCAAAATGATCATGTTGATGACTCGGAGGACGTTCGGAGTTGGTCGGGGGATTTTGATCCCCTGGCAGATCCTGAAGAGCGGCGAGTTCTCTTTGCTACGTTGGATTCTTTCAGGTGTGTGAGCCTCTACAGAATTCGCGAGAAACATCCCAATGACCAGATGCCACGGCTTTAACCTTCAATCGAGATATTTTACAGCTTAATTTAGGGTCATCATCGCTGACATGGACCAGGCAATATCGGAGAACCGCACATATGAACACTACACATCGCCGACGGCAAGCGTTCTATGCGCTCCCGTCCTCGCACTGGCAGATGCTGGCACAGCCCCCATTCTCCCTCTTAGACAACTTCAACCGCGTCGATGACGCCATCGATATCAATGCTGACATTGCGGACTCGATTCTCGCCACAGGCCTCTCATCGTTCGGCCTACCAGCCGATCCGGATCCCAATGATCCACGGCAGAACTGGCACGGCACCGCCACGTCTTCAGATGTCAACAAGGCACACTCAACCATCCGGCAGTTCTACCGCGACTGGAGCGCCGAGGGAATAGCGGAGAGAGATGTATGCTACGAGCCTGTCCTCCGTGATCTGCGCGACGAATTCCAAGCACGGAACACCTCCGGTGACGAGATACGAGTGCTCGTCCCAGGCGCCGGTTTGGGAAGACTGGTGTTCGAGATCTGCCAAGCAGGCTTCGCCGCGGAAGGTAATGAGATCTCATATCACCAGCTGCTGGCCAGCAGCTGGGTTCTAAACCACACCCGCGGCCCTCAGCAGCACGCGTTGTACCCGTTCGCGCTACACTTCTCCAACCTCCTGTCGCGCGAACAGCAGCTACAGAAAATCATGATCCCGGACAAGCACCCTGCGACAGCGATGATGGAGGCTCAGGCCGGGGATGCGTCGCCATTCGGGACGATGAGCATGTCTGCGGCGGATTTTGTCGTGCTCTACAGCAATCCCTCAAACAAAGAGGCGTTCGATGCCGTGGCTACCGTTTTCTTTATTGATACGGCCCCTAATCTCATTCGCTACATCGAAACCATCCGACATTGTCTCAAGCCCAACGGTCTTTGGATCAATGCTGGACCCTTACTGTGGCACTTTGAGGATGGCAGTAACCGGGGCCAGAGTAGTGGAGGCGATCACTCTCAAGGCATCGGAGAGCCGGGAAATGTGGAATTGACTGAAGAAGAGGTGTTTTGCCTTGTCGAGCGAATGGGCTTCAGCATCGAGAAACGGCAGTCGGTGGAAAACCGGCCCATGTGTGGTTATATTCAGGATCCGGGGAGTATGCTGCAGAACCTGTACCGGCCATCGCATTGGGTAGCACGGAAGAAGACAGGAATCAAAAGCTAAAGTACTCCGTAACAAAAGGGGAATTCTTCACAACACACTTGAATGTATTTGTGGAAATCCGCCTTGCGATCTAACACAAGGTCAAGGGAGCGGTCAGTCAACTGCTCCTCAGGCGCTTCGTGAAGTCCATTCGTTACTTTTGTTAGCATGTAAGACTACTGGCTGCCCAACAAAAAAAATATAACATCGATAGTACATCTCAGTTTACACAGCAGGAAATGGAGATGCCTGATGAGTGCTTGGGACTCGGAAATCTGGTAATCCGGATGTAGTATCATACCATACAAAACGCAGCATGCGTACAGATACACGATTCAGCCGCAGACAAACCAGGCCAACAAAGAGAAGGAACATGGCTTAGCAACTCTAGCGCAGAGGCTGGGGCGTGGCTGTTCTGTGATCCGCGAAGCTACATAGAGACATTTAGACGATGTTACTCACATTGACAGTGATATTGACACTAAGAAATATGACACAATCTATGAGCGAGAATCGAGTTCAAAGTTGCAAAGGGAGTGGATGATTTATCAACCTTTGGTTTTGTGAGGGTGGTGGTTTCATGGACATTCAATCTCCACTCTGGCAAGGCAGATCGCTCGTATCTTGATTCTCGATCCTCGGATTCAGGACCGAGTATCACTCCACTTTCGGTTTCAGGGACGGGAGGTTGGATATCTACAGAGTATTAGGACTCTCATGTTGTTCATGGTGACAATGCCTTAAAAGTATATCGATAGCATTTTTTTTTATATTGACAAGACTTCTATAGAAACGTTTTCTATTCCTGTGTGATAGGATATCAGGCAGATTCCTGGCTGGATAATTCTTGGGTCCCATTGTGAGAGATGTACGGTAACATACAATACATGACAATACTTGCGACCAAGGGACAGCGAAGTCGGGCCCAGATTCCCATATCCATGGCCAGGAGAACTGTCAATTGCAAAGCATACTCTCAATCGAAAAAGGGATGCTAAAGATAGAAAATGATATCAAAAAAGGACTCGATATATCTTCAGACTTCCAGCAAATGCCGAAGCAGAAATGGTGGACATTGCAGAGGACTGATTGGTAACTGCAGTGTTACTGACCGAGTACAACGTTGTAGCCATAAGCCAAGTCAACATCAACAAGCAGCATCCCTTTTGCATCTTCTCTCATCGATTCAATAATCACTTTCAATTTACGACTCGATCAATAGTGTTGGAAGAATATCGACTGTGTTATTCTTGATGATCCAGCACATCAAGTCTTCTGTGACGCCTCCAAAGTGTCAGCCTCGCCCCATGCAAACTAAATCACGACAGTTGATCCCTTGATTCCATCCAGCCTTTCTCGTGTTCCGACGGCCTGATAATCCTCCTCATTGTCATTCTTCCTCTTCCTCCACCCAAATTCTGCCTAATCGCACCAGATTAAAATCAAAGAAAAAAAAAAACCTCAGACAAAGGAGTTGTTTGTTTCATCCGCCCTTCGCGAGCACTGCCTTTTCTCCATCATCGGCTGACTCGCTCTATCGCTCTCGAGTCTCTTTCATTGTTTTCCTCTTCCCCCTCTCTCCCCTCCCCTTCTCCGTCTCCCTCTTTCTTCTCCTAAACTCCCCCCTGTCTCTTCTCTTCGGTTTGCCTCCGTCACAGGTCATCTCACATGGACCTGATGAGCTCACGATTCAAATCCTTCGGCTTCAAACGCAATAAGAACAATAGTAGTGTCTCCGTCTCCGCTGCCCAAGTCGCCAGTCCCAGCCCGTCCACCAGCACTCTCGTCGCCCCGCCTTCAACCGCCACTTCCCCCAGCTCTCCGCCTTCTGGCCATAGTTCCTCGTCAACCAGTCTCCCCATGAACAATCAGAACACATTGGGTCGCCCTCCGAGTTATACTTACAACACCGCGGGGCGGCCAACCAGCCCCATGCCGCCGGGTCAACAGTTGGCTCATCACCCGCCCCCGCTGAACACCAACGTGCAGTATGGCCACCAGCCCGTTCAGCCCATGGGCGCTCCGCCTGGGTATCCGTTGCAGCAACCCGTCCCGCATGGGATCCCTCCTTCGATGCCGCAGCCCCAGTATAACGTACGGAACCCCGCAGTCGAGGTCGAGGGCGCTGGTCGGAGCAAGGCACAGTTGATTGTCGGTATTGACTTTGGAACAACATTCTCCGGCGTCGCTTTCGCCTTTGCGACCAACAATGAGGCTCGAGAAGATATCATTACAGAATGGCCTGGAGCAGGAACGCATACCAAGCAGAAGGTGGGCGCTTAGAAACCCGCGGAGACATCGCCTGGCGCTTTTTGTTTCTGACTATTTGAATTTCTCTAGATCCCCACGGTCTTGTACTACGATCAATATCAGAAGGTGGTAGGCTGGGGCCCGGATATTGCGGACGCTCTGGCACCCACTGGATACCCGAAGACCGGCGTCCAAAAGGTCGAATGGTTCAAATTACAGCTCATGCTCTCCGGCAATACTTATATCGATCCCATCAACCTTCCACCTCTTCCTCCCGGCAAGTCAGAAATCGATGTAGCGGCCGATTACCTCTTCAAGTTGCGACAAGCGATGCGAGCGCAATTACAAAAGACCCTTGGTGAGGTGTTTACTCGGGAGGAGCGCAACATCCGGTACTATCTCACCGTGCCCGCCATCTGGAATGATGCGGGGAAGGCAGCAACCCGGGCGGCGGCCCTGCAGGCTGGATTTCTGCGAGACGAGAACGATAACCGCTTGACGTTGATCTCGGAACCCGAGGCTGCTGCGCTGTTCTGCGCCAAGACCGGCTTGCTTCAGCTCAAAGTCGGGGATGCGATTTTGATTGTCGACTGCGGTGGAGGAACGGTTGATCTGATCGCGTACGAGGTCGAAGAGGAGCAGCCCTTCAGCGTGGCTGAGTGCACGGCGGGATCGGGAGATTCGTGCGGTTCGACGGCTCTGAACCGGAATTTCAGCAACATCCTGCGGGCCAAGATTCGCAAGATGAAGTTGCCCGACGGTTCGAGAACCGCGGGAAAGGTGTATGCCAAGTGCATTATGGACTTTGAGAACCGGATCAAGGCCGATTTCCGCAACAATGGCCAGAAATGGGCAGTGGATGTTGGTATCGAAGCAGACTTTCCCGATGCTGGCATCGAAGAGGGGTACATGACGTTTACCAATGAGGAAATTCTTCAATGTTTCGAGCCTGTTGTCAACCGCATTCTGGAGTTGGTTCGGAACCAGATCATTG